ATTATTATTATTATTATTATTATTATTATTATTCAACTAAATAATCATTAAAAAATTTAGGAAAATTAAATCAGGAAATTAATCTATTAGAAATTGTTTCATAATTATTTAAATGACAAATCATTATTATTATTTCAATAAATAATTATTAAATAATATTAAAAAATTATTAAGTTTATCAACACCGATCTAGACCACTTGGTTAACTTCGGCCATACCTGGTTTTACATTAATTAACAATAAATGATTTAATTCTAATTAAAAATAATGTCATTTACTATAATTACATTTACTTTGATTAATAGTAAATAATTGAGGTTTAAAAAGTAAATAATTTACATTAAGTTATTGTTATTATAAATAATTAATTTACTATACATTACAACTAATCAATAGCAATTTCAATTTTTTTTTTTGTAAATTATCATAAAATATTGTAATTTATTGTTAGTTAATTAGTTATAAAAAATTATTAGAATTATAGGGATGACAATCTCCCTATAAAATTGGGGCCCTACCCTTTTCTCAAATCTTAAGTGGGGACGGGGTAGAGATGGAGTGGGGACAGAAAAAATATTTTTGCCCCAAATTAGGGGTGGGGTTTGCATTTCATTCCCTGCAACCAATGGTAAATTAATAAAATATCCATAAATTTAATATGATTTTTAAAATATTTCTAAGTTACCTAGGATACCATAATTTTATTTATAAAATATTCTTAAATTATCATAATACAACTCCTAAAATACCCCCAAATTCGTATAATCCTTTTTATAAAATATACATAAATTAGATTTTTTTTAGATGATTAATTCATGTGGAGAAATTTTTGGGGGGAATTGATGCCTCGCTCGGAACCCTTGAATTACGGGGGCGAGGGACAAGAAGGGAAGCCCCATCCCGTGCGATGCATTCCCGCTATTTGGGTAAATTGCATAGTATCTTTCTTGTGTGTGGCATATGAAAAGACGCAAATGCCCTTTAATTGTCATCTAATTTTCTTTATCATTCAGTCACATGCCTAAATCCAAATGTCCTTCGGATTGTTTGACATTGCTTTGGTTCAACCTTGATTCTTGAGAAAGAAGATAACTAATAAGTGAATTTTTTCTGACATTGTACCTCGCTCTCTGTGGTATCTGGATGTAGTTTAGCGTCTTCTAGGTGCCTTCTAGGATTTGATTCTTGTTGATTTTAATTCCGTCATGTTATAGTTCTGTTTGGGGGAATCCTTTTTAGTGACGTAGCCAGTCATTACGAGAAAACTCTGGCTGTCCACGTTCACAGCAAGTGCTGTTCAGTGTGAAGGGAGAGGCCTGTGGACTGCACAGGCTGTGGAATGTAGAAAAGCCGAATTTTTCCTAGTCAGTACACTTAGCACTGGACCATGGAACATCAGAAACAGGATTCAGTCAGAGCAAAGTCAGTTCGAACAGCGATCATAGCCTATAACTCCTCATGAAATAAAGTATAAAAATACGGAGATATTCCCGATGCAAGGCTATAAAGCTATAAGGCTGTTCGAACAGTGTTCGAACTGACTTTGATCTGACTGAACAGTGAATCAACGAATGCAACTGCAGAGTTATTGACAATACGAGTACTGGGGTACCTTGGCCCCTTAAGCTTTCAGGCTTTAGAATGGATATTGAAAGGAGAATTTTTGCAGTTGACTGGCAATAGGAAGGTTGGCTTCTTTTTGTAAACAATCGAAACCATGAGAGATGAGCTAACCTATCCTATATCTATCGATCTATGTATCTTTTTGTGCGTACCCGAGAGCACATCAAGAGAAATCTCAATGTTCTTTGATGGTTTTCGCTTCTTGTTATGTTTTAGCAGTCAGATCTTGTTAAGTGTGTTTCTGAACAATTACTGGTAACCACTCTTTGACAGTACGGACCCTCCAGAAAATATCAAACAAACTAAATAACAGATATTGGAACCTCAGCCGAACATCGTGTAATAGTGAAGATTTTGACAAGTTTTTTGCAAATACAATCCTCAGCAAAGTCACCTGTGACTGTTCCTTCAATCACTATACTGTTTGTCATGTCACAAGCATGTAAGTTAACCACACTACTCTCTCTCTCTCTCTCTCTCTCAAATGTTTCCACGGCCACGATCAACTTGGGAACATGATTTTAATATGAACCGAGTTTCTTGCCTCTGAGCCATTTTCACGCTTATATTTAACTTACCTTCTTTATTTTCTTTTTTACCGAGTTTCAGTCTGCTGAAGGGTCTAAACCTAACTGGAGTCCTACCTGATGAATTTGGGGATCTTCCATACTTAAAAGAGATGTAAGTGATTTTGACATTATATACATTCTTTTGAACATACACAAATAAAGTTGCTTGATCATCACAAAGCTGCAATGAGACTCTTGGGCCATCAAACAAATGTTTTAGATAATTTGATTTCGAGTTTTATATGTTGTCCTGTTCCTCCGGGCTGCAGCAAACTTTAAGCCACATCTCTAATCATCAACTAATTGAGAAGATTGCTTCTATTTCCTGTCAATTATAATTTGAAATTGAAAAAGATTTATAATGTAAGGTTTGTCTTTTGATTCTGCTGCTGGTGCTAAAACAGAGACTTTAGTCGCAACTACATCAATGGGTCTATTCCAGTAAGTTGGGCTAAGATCCCTCTTGTCATCATGTAAGCTCTTAATCCTCTTCTTCACTTGCATTTCTGATTCAGTTGTTCTAACATAACCATTTATTGAAATGACTGAAATCATTATACATCACAGATCCCTTCTGGGGAACCGCATTAGTGGATCAATTCCAGAAGTACTTGGTAACATTAAAACACTTGAGAACCTGTGAGTCGTAATCTAATATTCTTGGTAGATTAATCCACTGCGTCTATTTATGTTTCTGATGCAAACAATGCAAACTTTTTTTTTTCTTTGCAGTATATTGGAAGATAATCAGCTTGGAGGTACCCTTCCCGCAGAGCTTGGTAATTTAAGCCGGTTGAAGATATTGTAAGTCTTATTTAATTATTTTATTTTATTATTATTACTTTCTGATATTCCTCAATATCTTATGCTGACCATTTATCATCAAGGTTAGATAAATGGACCAATTTGTGCATTTGTAATATCTTATTTACTTAAATTATGATGTTATTATGATGTTTATTATTATCATTATCATCAACGGCAGCAGCAGCAACTGCCACCTTATTGGTAAATTGGGTTGGCAGCTTAAATCCTGGTACACTGTTCTACATTAACTCTGTATATACTGTAAAGATTAGCTAAAAGTCTTTTCTAGATACCTGAACTCAGTTTCTTTGGGCATATCCTTGTCCATCAGAATCTGTACAATAAATCAGTTCTTTTTAACTGGTGCATTACCTGGTTTTCATTTGACATAGAAAAACCATCTTTTTTTTTACTTATTCCATATTTTGTTGGTTGGTGATATTCCAAAGTACCCGTGGATATATGCATTTCTAATTTTTCTCCTCCAAGTTTTACCTTGTCAATACTAACATCCTTGTATCTGGTTAAAGGGGTCTATCCTCTCGAGCATTCTGCTCCATAAAGCATGGATGGATCCATTTCACAACTCCCACTGTAGATTCTTTTCTAGCAAAGCTGTTTTCTTTTGTAAATTGTTTGATACATGGATTTTAAGTGTTGATTTTGGAATTTGGATTCCAACCCCCTAAATCCGAAATAGATTGTAAAGTTTGGATAACTCAAATGACTCGTGTTGAGTTGATAGATGAAAATGCAACTCAGATGTCATAAATTATAGTTTTACAAGTACTTGCTCATATAAACTTCCATATGTATGAGATAGTAGACTGCAAATAGTTTCAGTTTTTTTTTTTTTTTTTCTTTTGAACTGTAAGGCAAATCTTGCTATTACGTATGTTGTTTTTACATTTCCACAAGGCAAAGGAGTAAAACAATCTTATAAATCTGATTTTTTACATTCTGATTAGAAATTTGATGTGGTGAAGGAATCTGGGGGGCGGGAGGATCATTGGTAGAGGAGTTATTATTTGTTGTTTCCAATTTATTGCAAAGGTGAAAGGACTAAATGATAAAGGGCCTATAGTGGCTAAACGGAAAATTTTGTAAGTGGCAAAAATGTGAATGTTGAGATGGACAAGTGAGTGGGAAAACCAGAAAGGGCAGGATTTTAGAGATGAACTTATTTGAAGGAACTTAGGAGTGTCTCCATTAGGTGATAAAATGAGGGAAAGTAGACTGTGGTGGTTTGTTCACGTGCAAAGAATGCCATCTACAGAACCAGTAAAAACAATTGATCTGTTACCAGTTGAAGGGGCTAGAAGAGCTAGGGGCAGACCAAAAAGGACATGGGTTGAAGTAGTCAGAAATGATTTAACTTTTAAAGTCTCATAATTTAACAATGGATATGGCACTGAACAGACCATTATCTCTCTTGTACATAAAATTATTTGTCGTTTATATTCATATTTTCTTTTTTCAATTTAGGCATGTATGGTATCACTCATATTTTGTTTTTTATCTTTTACATGAATTTTTTATAGTCTTGTCAATTAGAGAGACAATCCTATTTTATAACTTTATTTCCTTATTGATTTTGAGAACCAATACTATATATTGCATGGATATCCTAATTTATCTAGAGAATCCAAATTGGACTCGTTATTATATTATCGTGTACACTGCTTACATTAATATGTCACACCATGCATACAAACAAGGGTTTTCATTAGGATTCCTGGAATATCTGTCTTAAAAACCTAATTTAGAGAGAGAGAGAGAAGAAACTAGGCTTTGAATTTTAAGAGAACTATAATTCCATTAGGTACTTGGTTGTGATGAGAAATCAATCCTTTTGTTCAATGAATCCTGCTTCCAACTCCAAATTGCATCAATCAAATGAAATTTCAAGAATTAATGAGAAAAAGAAAAAAAAGACAGCTTTAGAATCACAGCAGGTTTCCTAGAGATCACTTATAGGATTAAAGTACTCCTAGATGTGGTGGCACCATGCAACTCAAGCTTACAGCAATGGCAATCCAATTGCATTCATTAATCTCCAAAGCCTTATGTCTAAACTATTTATATGCTTACATGGGAGGGGCAATTTTCCGTGGTAAAGTAAAAAGACCAAATTAACCTTGTGGCTAAAGATTGAAACAATGACAAAACTGTCCTTAACGTAACCTCTAATTTAAGACTTAAATCCAGCAATAAAGGAAGCCTGAAAGGACACCTAGAGAACATTTCAAATTGGACCTCACACAAAGCAAATTAAAACAAGAAAAAAAAAGGTACCCTTGGTGCCAAAATTAAGAAAGAACAAAAGAAATATAACCAACTACTGGTTAAGTAAAGAGGCTTCTTAAGGGACTCTTTATTGGATCCCCCGTCAATGGATTACCCCAAGATAAATTAAGGGTTGCTTCAACTGTTGGTTGAGCAATCAAAGCAAGAGATTCAATAAAGAACAAATGTACACCTTTTCATTTGTAACATATGTCAAATAAATGGGTGGATAGAAATCCCACAACCAATATGCATTGGTCATCATTTAACTAAAGTTTTCTTAGATCCAAAAATTTGTTGAAAATCTGGAAATTTCATGTTGCATCATCTTTCGGGTTAGCAACAGGAGTGATTACTGAGGACTTGTTGTAATTAAATTCTTCATGTCCAAATTGTTGAGAAGACAATAGTTGTATCAAAATCAAGTTGAGATCTTCAAATATGTCAAGACAGATTGATTTGCAGATAGGTTTGTTCAACTGGTCTAGATGTTCAGTTGAAAGTATCAACATGGATAATAAAGCTCAATATGAAATATATGAATGGGCTCAATAGACCACTTAAAATTTCATGAAGTTTCTGCAGAAGTACAGTCAATGTCAAAGACTATGTCTAGACTTATCCTTGTACCATTGAGGCCAGGATAGTGATCTGGGAAAATATATGCATCTTTTCGGAGTTATTGACTGATTAGTTGGTTATTCCTTGTACCATTTAGCCGTGCAACACGTACAATCCTTTAGATCTTGGAAGAGGATATAAGTTATAGATATGAATTTTAATCTTCTTATTTATCTCCATTCTTCTTTCTATGTTCTTGTATGTTTGTAGAATGAACCCTTCTTCTAGAACCATATTAAGATGGCTATCCTCTTTTTATTTGGCACTGCAGTTGAATATCTGCTAGTGTAAACTAATAAAGTATTGCTCAACCATAATTATTGATGGGTTCCTATGACCTCATTTATGTGTCAATCTGATTCACTTTTTAATAGAGCTCCCTAAAATGCAGTAAATGAGTTGTGAGTATCAGTTTCAATTCTCTTCATGGTTATAACCAAACATTATCATCACCATTGTTGTTACTAACATAATCATCATCACCATTAAATTGTCAATTATGTCAATGAGGTACATATGGATGAACTCATTTTGTTGAATAGGCAATCTCCTATGGATAAGGTGGTGTATCATGTGGTCCAGGTGGTGAGAGATTTGGATCTTTGGTTCTTGGGTGAGGAGTTCACTGAAGTGATTTTCTCTAGGTTGGAGGAAGAGGCTCTTGCTTGGTACAGGCAGCATGCTGACAAAGGTTGTTAGAGAAAAATGAATGAATGTTGTTGGAGTAAGGAGATACTAACCTCCTTCTAGCATGGAATATTATAAGGTTGAGAGAGGTAGGGAAGAAGAAGTTGTTGAGCTGTTTCTGCTTGCATTGTAGTTGTTGAGCTGTTGTTTATTTATAAATGCTAGTGGGGGTTATTGGCTGGKTTTTTTTCTTGGTATATTGCACGATTTATCCTTTTCATGCTTCTCTTTTTTTTTTTCTCTTTATTTTCCCTTTGGAGGTTTCTTCCCACATGCTGCTCATGTAACTCATCTTATTTTAGTTTAATAAATTTCCTTTTACTATCAAAATAAAATATTCAATAATATCACTATCAATGTTGTTGTTGACCTAATGCATACTGTTTTCTCACTCCCGCAGCACTATCTCTGCGAACAATATTACAGGACCAATACCAGAAACATTTGGAAATCTGAAGAACTTGACAGAATTGTAAGTCAATGCTATTAATCTGGGAAGCTTTCTCTTTTCAAATATATGTTCCTAAATTTGGTTAATAAATGCAGTAAGATAGATGGAAACAGTATATCTGGGAGGATACCTAATTTCATTGGAAACTGGACCAAACTTACTAGCCTGTGAGTATCTTATGTGATATCTACCTGCATGCCATTTATCTGCATTTGGTGTGTTTAATCAAAATTGTCACAGAGAAGTTGCTATTGTTCTTAAAATTGTTGCAGTGATATGCAAGGAACATCATTGGAGGGTCCTTTTCCTTCCACAATATCCCTCTTGAAAAACCTAATCCAACTGTGAGGCAACATTCTGGTCACTTTTGACTTCTATGTTTCAACTACAACAACAGTAATGAAGATATGATGACCATATAAGTCTTTTGATCCCATGCACTTTAATTACAGGAGGGTGGCTGACTTAAATGGATCAAATATGAGCTTCCCTGACCTCCAAGATATGAAGGCGATGACTGAATTGTGAGCTGAAATATGCATGGTGTATTTTGTTTAACAGTCTGTCTATGATTCCTCTCATTCATGGAGCACTTACTTTTGTTTTTGTTCTCTAGGATACTCAGAAATTGCATGATTACAGGCGAAATCCCTAGCTACATTGGAGAAGTTATGACAAATATTAAAAAAATGTAAGTTTCTGTTGACAGATCCTTTATCTAGAGGTTTTCTGTATAAACATCTTCAACTATTGGTCCATGGGAATAGATGGATGCCAAGAAATCCTGAAATATACTTCAGAGTTCAATGAGCTTCTCAGTTCTGTTGTTTTGGATTCTGTGGAATTTCAAAGTAACAGAATGAACAAGGTCAAATCACTTAGATCAAATAAGTGAGGCATTCTCCAATGGCCAATGCCCATAAATGTTCAACAATCCTATAAACCCTGTTTATTAGGATTTTGCATTGTTCATAATTGGCTGATTGACTTATTGGACCCTTCATGGGCTTTATTTTTATTATTTTTATATATGCTGCCACCTAGGGGCAGATTTGTCCTTCAACTACCCTATAATGTTTTCATATAAGCAACAAAGAAGGGTGCACAATACCCCAGTACAGTTCTCTCCCCCAACCATTTTTTCTTTCTACTTTCTCTCTTTGAACTTCATATTTTCTCCCTCATTTTCTGTTTAAGATTATTAATTTTATATCTCTGGTTTCATTTATTTGATTGATGCAAAATAATTCATTGAACTAGTGTACCATTATACTAGGAATAAGAATACTGCTTTTCCTGAATGATATGGAGTACAGGAAAGATAGGAACCTATTCAGAATCTTCCAAAATTTTAGGAAACTCGAAGTTTTATGGAAAAAAAATCTATAAACATTGAATGGTTCAGTTCAAAACTTGGCAAGGTTCAATTCATGCCATTCGTGATGCCTTTCAGAACAATCTTGTAAGGTTAATCCCAATTCCAAGCTCATGGTTTCCTGGTTTGTATACATTCAGTTGTCCATATATCAAGGGGATCTCATGTACTGATTAAATTTAAGTCATGGTTTTCTGGTTTGTATTTGTCTAGATTCAGTTGTCCATATATAAGATCCTCTCATGTCCTGTTAGATCCTTTAGAGTCATCCCATGACTGATGTTCCTGTTGAAATTGAGTAAAACATGCAACAAGGAAGAAGCATTTTGGGAGAACAGGAAATTCATTCAATGATGGGTTCTTGTGAAAGTTCATATTCATTTTCCAAAAGTGAAAAGATTCATTATTCCTTATATTTCTGTGGAAATAATTCTTTTTCTTTCCAAACCTATTTAATAATGCTTTTGATCTTGTTATTTGCAAAGCATGGAGTGGTTGATTCCCAAGGTTTAGATATTATGTTTATAGTAAATGCACCCGGAAAAGAAATTTTTTATAATGTAGTATTACTTGTAGATTTGAAAGCAGAGATGGTATTTGTTAGGGCATTTCATTATAATTTACTTTACCATCTACTAAAGAATAGATTTAAAAATAATCCAGGGCTTGGGTAACCTAATACGGAGAAGATTCTGTGTAGTTTTTTACATTAGAAAGAAATCTTACATTTGTTCTCATAATAACATTTTCATTGCAGAGACCTTTCCTTCAACAGATTGACTGGTCAAATTCCTAAACAATTGGAGGGTCTGTCAAAGTTACAATACCTGTATGTAAATAACCATTTTGAATAAATTACTAGAATCAAATTCCCTTTTTTATTTTCAAATCTTTTTTATTTCTTTATATTTATGTTTTATTGGTTCTACTTCATAGATAGTTTCTCTAATAGACTTGTTATTGTTTACGAATATAGGTATCTCACGAACAACTCACTAACTGGAAAAGTACCAGATTGGATCATGGATAACGGAAATAACATGTATGTATTTCTTATTAAAGCTTTGAATCAGACTTCATTTTTGCTATTGCCATATTTCCTTATCTACTTGGTTATGCTCATCTACTCATAACTTTCCTTAGTAATTAGTATGTGCCTTTTTAGTCTCCTACTGACACATATTTAGTATTATTTATTCTGTGAAGAATTCCATTACCTTAACACTGTTATCTGTATTGCAGAGACATTTCTTACAACAATTTTACAGAGTGCTCTAAACAATCCAGTTGCGAGCAACAACCACAAGTGTAAGGTGCACCCAGGATTTAATATGTTTTTTGCTCCTAATCCTTTTGTCTAAAAATGTTCCCTTTTCATATTGTTTAACAGAAAAACAATTGCCAGTTATTCATCTTCAGCAAACTGCTTGTAAGTTCCTAGGTCCTTGGAATCCTATACATTTCACTCAAGAGCCATACCAAGGAAGTAAATGAACTTAAACACTTTCTGCAGGGTTAACTGGTGCTTGAAGAAGGACCTTCCCTGTTCTAGGGAACCAGCATGTAAGTAGATTCTCTCCATGCGATCCTCAAGTGCCTTTTTTTTTATAAAGAGATCCTCAAGTGGTTGGGCAGTCAGACCTTTGGTGCTGAATTTACAATTACTATGTAAGATTTACTATTTTTGAGTATGATCATATGTTGTTCCACTAAAACATGCAGATCATTCCTTGTTCATCAATTGCGGTGGCCAGAGGGAGGAATTTGATGGGGAAGAATATGTAGATGACACGACAAATATGGGTCCATCAGATTTCTACCAATATGATGAAAGATGGGCTTGTAGCACCACAGGAGATTATTTGGAAAATAACAATGGTATTTACATAACCTCAAACAATGTACTGAATATCACTGGTTCAGCAATATACAGGACAGCTCGCCTTGCCCCTCTATCACTCAGGTATTATGGACTTTGCTTACACAAAGGGAGCTATACAGTGAAGCTCCACTTTGCCGAAATTATGTATACAGATGACCAGACATTTAGCAGCATTGGGGAGCGCATTTTTGATGTATCAATTCAGGTGAGTTATTGACACGTCACTATCATCCTTATTCAGTTACCAATGTCATTTCTTAGTGGTAATAATCCACTGATATCATATCCAATGGTAGATACCATTTAGTTCCATCTCTTTATTTATAAAATAGTAGACCTATTATTTAACTCGAGTTAAATTTGTGTCATTGTTGATTCTTGTAGGGTGAAATACGCTTGAAGTATTTCAATATTGCCAAGGAAGCTAATGGTATTGGTAAAGGCATCATTATGGAATTTAATGATGTTATTGTTAATGGTAGCACTCTGGAGATCCACTTATACTGGTCAGGAAAAGGGACTACCTTCGTTCCAGAAAGAGGTGTATATGGACCCCTCATATCAGCTATTGCAGTGACGCCCAGTAAGTTTATCTAAACATTTGATGGTTGGGGCCCCTTTCCCTCGTAATAGCCTTATAATAATCATCATTTTCATATTATAGACTTTGAACCCAAAAGTGGACCGTCTGTTGGAGCTATCGTTGGCATCGTAGCTGCTGCATGCATAGCTGTTGTGCTAATTTTGGTATGCCTTTGGATGAAGGGTTATCTAGGAAGGAAGGATGTTGAGGACAAAGGTATGATAAATAGTTGTACATTCCAAATGTTCCTGGTTAAGTCTCTTTAGGACTTTTTATTGCTAGTTCATGTGGAAAGCCATTATTGGGAAAATAAGCTATAAATGAGCCTTGAGCTTGCTAATCACTATTCCTAAAACTTCTCATGCAGAACCTTAGTTTTCTTTCTACATGTAAAGAGACTGGGCCGAATGGGTCCTAGTATCTTCTCTTCTAATATCTTTTCTTTTCTTGTTGGTTAATGGGCCTCTCTTAATGGGCCTGTTATTTCTTTTTGTTTAATCTCTTTATGTTACTGCCTAGTTGGCCGCCCACTTAAGGGCATAATTGTCATTACTCTAACATTAATTCTTAATAAAAAAGGATTAGAGGAGAAAGGGAAGATAATTTGAATCTTCTTCTTCTTCCTTCTCTTTTTGCCATCTTCTCTTGTACTGCTGCTCTTACTTCTCTTCTTCCTTTTTTTTTCCCCTCTAATCTTCAAATTTACACCTAATATTTGAGGACTGATTTACATCTTGGTATCAGAGCAGGTCTATCACCTTCCTCTTTTCCCATACACCCTTAGATTAAGAGAGTGTATCGAGAGATAGGTTCTCTATAGTTCAGAGGATCTCTGGCCTAGTTGGTAGAGAGTTTGGAGAGTTTAAATCTGGCCGGATATTGCCAAGAAGTGGTGTTGTTCTGTTGCTGCCCAAAACCCTATCCGATTAGAGATTTTCGAAGGTACAGGTAAAGGTGAAGCTTTGGGTGTGGCACTCTGTGCTTGGGAGGTGTCTTTTGACTCCTAAAGAAGGGTGGTTCAAGTTTGGAAGAGATTGGGAAGCTCTGGTAGGAGCGGCTGCATCTTCTCTYTTCCTCCCCAACAGTTGGRCGGAGTAAAACCCTAGTTTTCAAGCATCTGGGTTCTGGTTTGACTTCAAGTAAGTTTATATAGACAAAATTTCTGGTTCTTTGATTTTTCGTTTGTTTAATGGAGACATACGGAAGTGAGTTCAAGCAAGTGTCGGTTTCCGGCCTTGGCTCGGTAGATTCCGTTTTAACTAGTGTGACCACAATCAAGCTAGATGGGACAGATTATCTTGCTTGGGCACAGTCTATAAGAATTTATGTCTGTAGTAGAGGAAAACTCGGGTATCTCACAGGTAGTAAAGTGAAACCCGAAGAGACTGACCCTGAATTTGAGAGATGGATGCAAGAGAACTATACTGTCATAGGATGGTTGGTCAATTCTWTGCAACCTCATACAAGTCAGCATTATCTCTGGATGTCTTCGGCTAAGGAGATATGGGACAGTGTTACTGAGACCTATTCACAGAAGTTGAATGTAGCTAGAGTTTATAAGTTGAAAAGTGATGTGAAGAACCTAAGACAAGGGGAGAAGAGTGTAGCAATCTACTACTCTATACTGAAATCCCTATGGCAAGAAATTGATGTTATGGAGACAGTTGTATGGGAGAGTAAGAATGATGCTGAAATGTATAGGAAGTTGGTGGAGAGAAATAGGGTGTTTGAATTTCTCACTGGACTCAACCCTAATTTTGACATCATTGGGCAAAATATCCTGGCCAGAGATGAGGTTGCTCTTTCCCAGGCATATGCTATGATAAGCAGTGAGGAGAGTAGGCGGCAGGTTCAGTTGCATAGTCCACGTATAGAACACTTTGCACATGCTGGAATAAAGCCAAATGGTTCTACTGAGAAAAAGGAGCAGATATGTGAATATTGCAAGAAACCGAGGCATACAAAGGACACTTGCTAGAAGCTTCATCCTGAGCTTCTTC